CCAGTGAGTTGCCGTACCCTCTGGACTTTTCAAGAAATAGAGAGACATCATGGTAGTTACTTGAGAGGTCTGGCTATGGGACCTGCACTTTGTCATCTTCTCACAACCCTTTACCTTCCTCAGGTACCATAGGCGAGGAGGTTATGATGTGGAAAATGAAGAGAAAGTAAAGTTGGGCATGACTAACTCCCACTGAGAAGGACCTGTGCTCAAGGTAATGGTACATTCTTTGCGCTGGGCAGTATAGAGAGGCCAAGGCATGGTGGGTCTTGGGTAGGTTTCAGTGAGTGTTGAATTCCTTAGATAAGGGTTGCAGGGGGCAGGTTACTACTGTGGAGTCAGAGTTCCAATGCAGAATTGTCTTCAGAGACGTAGTGAGGCATCTCCAGTTAGATTACAAGGTTGTAGTACCCGTAGCTCCCTTTATGAATGCTCTTTGCATTTCATAGAATTGGACCCAACTTTAAATGCCTCCTCCCTCTTGTGCTTCAGGAACCTTCAGAGGATGGTTCCCTCTGAGACACTGGTTCATACAAGTTCTACAGAGGGGAAAGACTTCAGAAGCAGCCATGAAGACTTCTTCATTCCCAGTTGCTACCCTGACTGGGCCTCCCATAATTACTCTGCAAAAGTATCAGAGCCTCTAAGTGCCAAACAGACTGTGCCCACTGGGATCCAGATCAGAACACAGTGGAAGCAGGAGAGCCCTCCAGGCCTTTCTGATTCACCTCCACCAGATCCACGGGTTTGTTTAAACACCTTCTGGATTAAAGTGTCAGCTAGATTCCGAATGCCCCAGGATTGACTGAAAAAAAAAAAAAGAAGAGGAAGGAGGAATGACTTATGGACTGGAAGACCGAGTTGAGAAACCATGTGTTCAAGTACAAGGGATCTGCTGTTTGGACCCTCCAGCACGCTGGATTTGATGAGCTAACTGTGAAATACCACAAGCCCAAGAACTCTAAATTTTGGGACTTCTACCCAGATGGGAAAAATAACAACTATTTTTTTTTTGTTATTTGTTTGTAAAATGCCTCTTAAATTATGTATTTATTTTATTCTATGTATGTTAATTTATTTAGTTTTTAACAATCTAACAATAATATTTCAAGTGCCTAGACTGTTACTTTGGCAATGTCCTGGCCCACCCCTTTGCAGCTCTACCATCCAGCTCGGTGACACACTCCCATGTGCTCTGTAACCCATCTGTAGTAATTTATTGTCTGTCTACATTTCAGAAGATATCCCAGGAGCAGAGTATCCAGGGGGGAGTTGTGTATGGTCAGAGTGCAGGGAATGATTTGGGCAGAGCCACTCTGTGAGTTGGACTGCAATCTTGCCTAGGTGATTTTTGTCTACTGTTTGTGTTTTGAAAGCCCAAGGTGCTGATGTCAATGTGTAATAGATTTTGGTGTTTACCTGTGTCCTCTCCCTGCCAAATCTCAGAAGACATTGGGCATCCATGCCTGCAGTTTCCTGGCCCCTTTTCCTCTATCACCCTTTCCCACTCTCCCTGTGTCAAGACATTTCCCTTACTCCTGCCATTCTCCTGGTGCTACTCCATACAGACAGAGTTTGTAGAGAGAGGACAGTTTGGGGAAGTGATTAGTAAGGAAAAGGCTGAGGAGGAGCAGGGAACGTTGGAGTTGACTACTCCTGGTAATTGATTACCTATCAATTGCTACAGGGAAGGTTGGTGTTAGGGAAGGTTTTGGGTAAGAACTATACAGTCTCACCAAAACTGTAATGTTGTTATGGTTCCCATGAAAGTTTCTGGTGCCACTTATGAACTGTTACAACCTATATTTCCAAAACCTGGTTCATATTTATACTTTGTGATCCAAATAAATATAACCCTTACTCCATGGTCTGCTTAGTTTTGGGTTTGTTTGTTTGTTGTTTTGAACAGGATATCACTATGGAGCCCTGTCTGTCTCTCTATGTAGACCAGGCTGGCCTTGAACTCAGATCTGTCAGCCTTTGTCTCCTGAGTGCTAAGGGTAAAGGCTTGCACTACCACTCCCGGCTTGTTTGTTTTGTTTTCATGTGTGTGAAGGTAAGATGCTGACTTTGGGTGTCTTTCACGATTGCTGTCCTTTATTAGTTTCTTTTTATTTTCTTCAGACAGAGCCTTACTATGTAACTCTAGCTGTCTTGGAACTCAGAAATCCACCCGTCTCTGCCTCCTTAGTGATGAGATTAAAGGCATGTAAGCTTTTTTTTTTTTTTTTTTTTTTTTGAGACAGGGTTTCTCTGTGTAGCTTTGGAGCCTATCCTGGCACTTGCTCTGGAGACCAGGCTGGCCTCGAACTCACAGAGATCCGCCTGCCTCTGCCTCCCAAGTGCTGGGATTAAAGGCGTTCGCCACCAATGCTCAGCCAGCATGTAAGCTTTTTTTTAATAAATACATTTTATTTTATTTTTTTAAATAATTCATTTTAATTTTATGTACACTGGGTGTTTTTGTTTTGTTTTTGCTTGCATGAATGTCTGAGGGCATTGGATCCCTTGGAACAGGAGTCAGAGACAGTTGTGAGCTGCCATGTGAGTGCTGGGAATTGAACTCAGGACCTCTGGAAGAGCAGCCAGTGCTCATAACCGCTGAGCCATCTCTCTAGCCCCGCATGTAAGCTTTTAATGCCTCATTTGATCTTCTTACTTTTTGAGACTAGAGTCTCTCATTGGATCTGGAGCTCATCAATTCAGTTCAGCTAGGCTCATCAATTCATTTTGTCTAGGCTAGTGGGCCAATGAGCTTCAGGAATTTCCCTGTCTGCCTCTACCACCAAGGGTCTGGGACTACATACCAGTGTGTTGACTTGCATATGGGCACTGGGGATACACACTAAGTGTTCGAATATTAAACACTTTACTGACTGAGCCATTTCCCCAGCCCTAGTTTGCTTGTTTTAACTGGGAATTTGTTTAGCATAGGAATTCTCTAAGCTGTCTGTCTCAGAGTCAGGAATACTTACAAACACTATTCTCACTATCCACAACTCCAGGATGGGGTTACTGAAAGGTTCAGGCATTATGCTGGCCTGCCCCTGTTACCTGACGGAACAGGCAGTACCCTGGTCAGCCCAGGGTTCCATGGGAACTAAGTCTGCACACAGGTGCAGAGGACCCCTTGAAAAGACAGATCCCTGCCCATTTATGCTTTCTCTACACTCTCTAATCTCTCTCTGCCTCTCTATGGTGACCAGCCATGGTGGTTAGCCATTAACCCTGTTCCTCTTCTCTCTTAGTCTCTTTACTCTGCTGGACCTATAATAAACTGGTTAACATGTCTAATATGTCTCATCCTGTGTCTCATCTTGCGCCTTCCTCCTCTTCTTCTTTATCTTTAATCTAAACAAAAATCTAACAGTTACTATTGCTTATCTTTTTCCTAAAAGAAGAAACTGAGACTCAGGTTGTATAAATTGCCTAAGAATACACTGTGAGCTGGGACTAGTTATTTTGTTTTAATGCTTACTGCTTCTCATACAAGGAAGACTAGAACTTTGGTATAGGAAGTTTGGCTGGTTGGACTTATGTGTGTTCAATTGTCAGGTCCTAGACTTAGGAATTAATTGCATACTATACATGCAAGCAGCCGTTGCTCCTGGAAAGAACAAGATGTTTATGCCTTTTCTCTCATCTGCCACAGCCAATCCCCCAGCAACTCTTGTCTGCTATACTTTTTGAATGCATCACCCAGTCCAACACAACATCCTCCCTGACCTGAACTCTGGGATGGCCTCCTGCCTTCCTAGTTCCACCTTGTTTCTTGGTCTGAATAATCTTTTATTTAAAACATAACTCAGGGCTGGGAGTGGTGGCTCCATGATAGAATACACATTGTACATACAAGTCCAAGGTTTGAGACCCCACATATGACACACGCATAAACAGATCTTGTCTACTCTGCAGGCTTCTTCCATGGTCACTCTATTATACACAGAACATTCTTCAGCATACCATCTTCTCCTTAGAGGGATTTATGTTCCTCCTTAGTTCCCAAGCACTACTAACACATTCCTATTTGTTTATTGTCAGTCTGCTCCCATTAGATTGTTAGCCCATGGTGTGTTTATTGTCTTAATAAAACTGAGATGTAAGCATTCAGTATTTGTTACATTCATACTGAACTCCAAGATCATCAAGTGGGCAGAGTCAATCTAGTGTTGTCCTGAAAGTTGTTGGATTTAGAGGGGTGCCTCTGTCAGGGAGGGTGGGCCGAACAACAGGGTAAAAGTGAAATTAAGGGCCTATCATGATGCATGGTGTTCTGGATGGGTAGGCGGCAAGGAAAGCCATCACACGAGTTCCCTTGGTTGTTTCTCCTTTTTCCCGTTTCTCCTTGAAGAGAAGTGACTTGTTGAAGTTTCTCTGGGAGCCCAAATAGAGATGTTTTTCTTTCCTTCCTTCTAATTCTTTTTTTTTTAAAGCAAAAGTGACCAGCAGACTAAACTATCTTCCGTACTAGTCAGCTCTTGCTAAAAAATAAATGACTCTAAAATTAACAGCTCACTATTTATTGTTATTGGGGAGGTGTGTGCATGTCAGAGGACAACTTGTGGAGTCTGTTCTCTCCTTCCACCCTGGGGGGCCAGGTATGGAACTCAGGTCATCAGGCTTGACAACCAAGTACCTTTACCTGAACTACCTTGCTTCTTTCTGTTTTTCTTTCTGCCTTCCTTTTCATCCTCCTCTTCCTCTTCCTCCTCTTCTGCTTCTTCCTTTTCTCTTTGACAGGGTCAAACCCTTCAAATTCCTGCTCCAGACTTCTGAGTACTGGGATTACAAATGGGCACCACTGTACCTGGCCCACACAGAGATCACATATGTACTTTGAATATCTTTTTAAAACTCTAGTCACCAACCAGTGTGATAGTTTATATTGACTGTCAGCTTGGCAAGATCTAGAATCGCTGAGGGAGCAAATCTCTAGGTGTCTATGTGGGACCTCTAGACCAGGTTAACTGAGAAGGAAAGACATTCCTTGGGCTGAGTCCACATGGAATAGTAAGAGGAAAGCAAACCAGGCTCTATCATTCATCTCTCTGCTTCGTGACTAAGGATGCACTGTATCTAGCTGCCTCAAGTTCTTGTTGCCCTGATTTCACTGCCATGAAATACTGTGTAAATTGTGAACCAAAGTAAGTCCTCTTTCCTTAAGTTGCTGTGTCAGCTATTTTATCACAACAGTGAGACAAGTAGCTAATGAAACCAGTAACTCTAAAAGCCGTTGACTATTCTATCATCCAAGAATTTTACTTCTAGGCATGTATGCAACAGAAACAAGCACCTGTGTTTACCAGGACTTAAAACATGATCTTACCATTACTTCCATCACTAAAAACTAGAAACCAGTAGGGTGTGTGGGATACCGACACAATCTTAGTACACTTAGGAGATGGAGGCAGGAGAATTACTAACTTGAGATTAACCTGGGCTGCCAGGTAGTGCACACCTTTAATCTCAGCACTCAGGAGGCAGAGGCAGGTGAATGTCTGTGAGTTCGAGGCCAGCCTGGTCTACAGAGCTAGTTCTAGGACAGCTCTAGAGAGAAATTCTGGGGGGGGGGGGGTCTGTACCTCAGGGATAAAGCACTTTCCTGGCATACTCAAGGGCCTAAATTTGCTCTCCAGCACAAAAACAAAACAAAACAAAAAAGCACACAAAACAACCCTTTTAGTATTTGATGATGAAATGAATAAACAAACTGGCAAATTTTGAGAATAAAAAAAGTACTAACCAGCGGCGTGGATAAGTCTTAACAACATTTGTGGCAGAAGGAGCCAGACCTAAGTGAGGACATTCTGTGTGGGTCCAGTTACATGAAAGGTAAAAAGCTGGTCCAGCAAGATGGCTCAGCCAAGCCTGATGACCTGAGTCTGATCCAAAAGACACACAGAGTTGACTTCCCTGTTGCTCCTCTCACCGCCACACATGCACAGTGCCACGAGCCCTGCTCTTTCATGGTAATAAAGGACACTTGATCTTGCCTTCCATCCAGTTCTGTGAAGGACCAATGCCTGACTCTGGTAATCACAGAGAATAGTAAAGATGGCGGAAATAATCAGAGAGGTGGTTTCTTTGGCTCTCCATGGAGTTCTTTTCCTGGGCTCCAAGTTTCCAGTCTCAAACCCTTCCACCAGCCAGGGCTGGGCTTCCTGAGCACCCTTCATTCTTCAGCTGATGTTTCCTGCAGGCTCAGGACCTAATGCCTCTTTGCTGTCCTCTCCTTTCCATTACTGATGGTAGTTCTACGTGGTGGTCTACTGGCCTTCTCTGTGGTTAACGCCATGGTCCTAGGAGTTGCTGAAGTTGCAGCCACTTCTTAGCAACAGCCATCAGGGGAAACTGGCACCCTGAGCCTTAAAGAATATCTCCTTTTTCTCAATAGGCTGCTTCTCCTAGTACCTTTGAGAATTGTTTGTTTGTTTGGGACAGGCTTTCTCTGTGTAGCTCTGGCTGTTCTAGAACTTGATCTGTAGACCAGGCTGGCCTCGAGCTCACAGAGATCCTTCTGTCTCTGCCTCCTAAGTGCTGGGATTAAAGACATGTACCACCATGCCCAGTCTTGGTTTTCTCTTCTTATATCCAGAAATTATATAGCAAAGAATCACTTGAAAAAGGCAGGCCTGGTGATGCATGCCTGAAATCCAACAATTGGGAGATGGAGTCAAGAGGATCAAGAGTTCAAGATTACCCTCAGCTACGAAATGGATTTTTTTTCATTCTCGGACAGGGTCCTGTAGCTCCCTATGCAGCCCAGACTGGCCTCAATTTCTTTGACCTGTCCAAGGTACTAATTCGTGGCACATTTAGACTTGAAACTCAGGCCTCAGCTAGCCCTCCGCTCTTTCCTTAAAAACAAA